CCCGTCCTCCCCCCCAGCTGGTCCCCTCAGTACCTGCTCCCGCCCCGGTGTGCAGTCACTCTCCTTAGTAGCGCTCACATCCCGCTGTCGGGCCGTAACCCCATGCTGCGGGAGGCGCTGGGCATCCGCCCGCATGTCCTGGTGCTGAACAAGATGGACCTGGCTGATCCCCGCCAGCAGCTGGTAAGTGCTGGGGCAGAGCTGGCTGGCTGGGGGCCCACAGGTCACTGCAGGCAGGTGCCAGCGATGCCTCTGCCTGTCCCCTTCAGACAGTCTTGGAGCGCCTGAAGCAGCAGGGATGCTCGCACATTGTCTTCACGGACTGCCAGCACGATGCCAATGTCAAGAAGGTAATGGGCCAGCAGCCCTGTGCCCAGCCCTGCTCCTTGCTGCTGGCAGCTGAGGGCCATGTGCCAATCTCCCAACCCCACTGTGAGAAGGTGATGCTGGCTGGTCCAGAGCAATCTTCATTTCCAGCTTCCCCAAGGCACCCCATCCTCTGCTTGGCCCCCGTTTTGCACATCCTTCTGGCACTGTGTCCTCTGAGCAAGTGGCTGCTGCCGGCCCGGGCACAGACATGTGGTTACAGCCCTTCCCTGTGTTTCTCTGCAGATTGTTCCGCTGGTTGCTGAGCTGGTGAGCAACAGCCCACGCTACCACAGGGCCGAGGTGAGATGCGGTGGCGAGATGGCCAGTGCATGTGCAGGGAGTCAGGGTGGCCATCTGCAGGTCACTTTCCTCTCCAGCTGGAGGGACGAGGCTGCTCGCACACATGCCAAAAACACTGGCAAAGGCTAGGTTGTTCTGCTGTTGCGGCTGCTCATGGGTAGCCAATAACTGGCCACTCCCTTCCTGTGTCCTCCTCACTTCCAGAGCACCGAGTACAATGTCCTGGTGATCGGTGTGCCCAACGTGGGCAAGTCCTCACTCATCAACTCCCTGCGGAGGCTGCACCTCAAAAAGGGTATTTCTCCGTGGTGCCTGAGCTTGGGGAGGAGCCACTGGCACAGTCGTGGGGCGGGCAGCGGGGCAGAGCATCACTCACTTCTCTGACTCTTGTCTCTCCCTGAAGGGAGAGCTACCGCAGTGGGTGGTGACCCGGGCATCACCAAGGCAGTGCAGACCAGAATCCAGGTACCATCCCCACAGCGCAGCCAGCTGGGTGGGTGCTGGCTTCTGCCTCCCTGTGTCCTCTCGTAGGAGCTCTGGAAAGCCTTGAGGCACGCAGAGCTGATCTCACCAGGTTGCTTGGGTCCCCTTTACAGCAAGACCTTAACGAAACTCATTAGCCATCACTCATTAGCCATGTCAGAGTTTACGGTGCTAATCACTGAGCCATGCATCCTAACGGCCCTGCTTTCGCCCACACCAGGTCTGCGAGAAGCCCCTGATGTACCTGGTGGACACGCCTGGTGTGCTGCCCCCAAAGCTGGGGGATGTGGAGACGGGCATGAAGCTGGCACTGTGTGGTGAGGTGGAAGCTGTGGTCGGGGGGAACTCCCCAAATGTGACTTCCAGCCCCGACTGGGCCTGGTACCTGAGGCTGGGGCAGGGGTCTGCTGCTCATAGCCACCCCGAGGCTGGCACATGCTGCCTGGGTGCCCATGGGTGGCACGTGGACAGCAGGAGGCATGGCCGGAGCTTGGAGCAGGGCTGGGGGGGAGCTGGGACTTGACCCTCTTTTCCAGGAGCCATCCTTGACCATCTGGTGGGTGAGGACATTATGGCTGACTACCTCCTGTATGCCCTGAACAAGCAGCAGCAGTTCGGGTGAGCCGTCAGGGGAACTGGAGAGGGCTCCAGGCTGCGTCTGCTGCCTCTGGTCCCAAGTGGGTGGTGGAGAAGCCGTCCCCAAGGAATTGGCAGGGGGAAGAAGTGGTGCTGGCAGGGGGTGAGCCACCTCCTTCGGCAGGTACATGCAGCGCTATGGGCTGGCCGAGGCCTGCGACAACATTGAGCTCATGCTGAGGCACGTGGCCCTCGCCCAGGGCAGGACACAGAAGGTGAAGGTGCTGACAGGCACGGGTGAGTGCTCCGAGGGGAGGATCTCTGCCTCCTGGGGCACAGGGGACAGGCTTTTGGGGATCCTGGGGCAGCTCCAGGCTCTGCTGATGCCTCCTTCTAAACCCAGGGAATGTCAACGTGACGATGCTCAACTACCCAGCCGCTGCCTACAAGTTCCTGCGGGATTTTCGAGCGGGGCACCTGGGCAGGGTGACACTGGACTGAGACCTGTCCTGGGGGGGGGGGAGAGGCACCACCTGCAGCTGGATGGACTGGGGATGAAGGTCTGGCTGCTCCCCCAGTGCCCCACGGTGCTGGCGCCACCTCGGCATGGAGCTCTGCTGTGCAATTAAAGTGGTTTCTGCTGGGATGACCCCCAGTTTCGGACCCCGGGCTGATTCAAGGGGCTGGGGGATACAGGATTGCTGCGGCGGGGGCGAGGCTGCGCCATGGCGGCTGCCCGGTGCTGTCACTGTGCAGGACGATGCTTTCTGTGGGGAGTAAAAAAAAACAGGAGGGCCCAGGGCACAGCCGCTGCCTCCAGCAGGGACAAACCCCAGTCTTGGCCCTCTCTGGGAACCTCCACCTCGAAATAAAACCTTCGTGGGCAGGGGCTGGGGTGGTGGCTGTCCCACGGTCCCCATCCCGAGCCCTGCATTCAGCCACACCTGTTTTCCACCCAGCTTTATTGCCACCTCCTCGTTCTCCGAACACTGCAAGGCCCGCGTACGGAGGAGCGGGGCAAACGGGGGTGCCTGAGCCAGTGGGGTTTGATGCAGGGCAGAGGGGGAGAAAGACAGTGTAGGGGCTTCCGGCA